AAAATTTTTTTTTTTTTGATTAATCAATAAGAAAAAATGCAATGATTCAAAAAAAAAAAAAAAATTTCTTGGCATAATTACTATATGGGATAGTTAAATATGCGCTGAGGCATTCATTGCAGAACCGAAGCGTGATCAGTAACTAATGATAAAAAGGGTTTTTGATATTGCAAATAGAATAACGACAAAGAACTGGAAGCACTTCGGGCCGCTATTCATTTATAAGAAAATATAACTGATTGGTGAACGTCCTTCTTTGTCCATTTTCATAGCACCCTGAACAAAAAGGCAAAAGCAAATAAGTAATTTGCCAAGAGAGAAAGGCCACTATCTTAACCAAAATAACCAAATTTTTATGGAGTCACAAAATATAATCACAGTTGAATCGCAAGAGGAATGGACAGAAGATGAACTAGTAGAATTCGAGAGAGTAGAAACAAGGCTTCTCAGTGAAATTCTCAGATAGCATAAGGATGCTGCAAGAAACCTTAGAATAGTATACACTGGGACCTCAAGAACAACAATGTGAAGGCAAAAAAAAAATAAATGATGAAGAGAACACAAAAGGAATTAAAAAACTTGAAACATTTTTTCAACCGAGTTCATTAACAACTTCTCAACTAATTTGTCAAGAATCTTACATTTCAGAATCTTTATCATTATACCTCTCTCCAATTATTATACCAGATTCATCTTTGTGGTCGACTGAAAATTTACGTATCCGTTTAGAAGAACTTAACCAACGATACTCGATAGGAAAATCTGTGAAGGAGAACAGTAAAATCTTTACATATGATCATTTACATTTTCTTAGTATATGTCGATATATACAATTATTGTTAGAAGGACAAGGTAAAATGGATGCTGCTGACCAAATTGCACATTTCATATAGAATAAAATGAGTTATATGGCTAAATATGTTCGGATATGAAGAAATCATTACATAAAGACAGGAGAGCTTCTTTCTTACCACCAAGGTAAACATACCAAACTCGAAAGCTTGATTGACGATGAGGATTTTAGTGAAACTTGTAAAGTGTGGTTAAAGCAACAAAAACCGGAAATACGTACACCTAGTAATTTGAAAGCATATATTGAGGATACACTATTTCCAAAATTGATTGGCTATATCAAAAAAAACATTATATCAGAGAGGACGTGTAGAAATTATATGTATTCGTGGGTTTTAAATATAATGAGAGAAGAAAGGGTATTTACTTTGATGGCTATGAGAGACCAGATATGGTGGCGTATAGGAATGAATGGGTAAAGAGAATGTTTATATATAAAAAAAACATAAAAGATTTTGTTGGTGAGTCATTAGAATTTGTATTAGAACCTCAGCTCAATTTAGGGGAAAAAGAATACATTCAAATAACACATGATGAGTGTTATTTCTATGCTAACAATGGGCGGCGATGAATTTGGATTTAGAAAGGCAAAAATATTTTGCGGCCAAAACATCTGAGACATTCTATAATGGTCTCTGCTTTTTTGTGTTCTTGCCATAGACTACTACACCTATCTGACCAACAGCTGTATGAAAATCTGTATATTAAAGATAAAGAAACATTTGTGATTTGTTTTGTTTAGGTAGATGGATATTGGAAGACAGAGCATATGCTTGACCAGCTTGTGAATAAAGTAATCCTAGCATTTGAAATATTGCACCCCGGGTGTATCGGTGTGTTTTGCTTCGATCAATCTACTAACCATAACGCTATAGCAGAGAACGCACTAATCGCAAAAAGGATAAACTTGAGTTCTGGGGGAAAACAACCGGTAATACGAAATGGTTGGTTTATTGATGAAACCAGAAAAAAATATGTGCAACTGATAGTATTTCCGAATGATTATCATAAGGAGGAGTTAAGAGGCAAGCAAAAAGGTTTGAGGCAAGTGCTTGAAGAGCGAAAACTTTGGCCTGCAGGAAAGGTTCTGCTAGTATGTGAAAAATGTTTTGAAAAATGTACTGATAATAGCTCAGAAAGGTTGGATTGATGCGCACAAAGAATCATGTCATTGCAGCCCGATTTTCTTGAACAACGATCCCTGTTAGAAGAAGCTGTAATTAATGCAGGGCACATTTTTGAACGCTATCCAAAGTTTTATTGTGAGTGTAACTTTATCGAACGATATTGGGGTTTTACTAATTTTATCTCTGATTTCTATTTGACCTACGTATTGATTAGATTTTAAAACTGATTGTATATGAAACTAGTGCGAAGATTGAATAGAGCACTAAACTAATATTGTCAATTACTTATGATTGTATTTCTGTATTTATACAGTTTAGAATACTTGGAAAATGAAACTTCGCAAAAAAATGTTTTTGGTTAGGTTGTAATTTTTGTATTATATATAAGTCTTTTAATAGCAAAAACTGTCCAATTAGAAGAAGTATAATGATGCAATATAATTGGCTATTATATGTTATACTGCATACACGAATTTGAAACATGGTTATGTGACTGGCGAGTTAAGGCTTCCGGCACCATAGCTAAAATTTGACGAGTTATAGTTTCAGAGGCTATTTTCTTAAAATTTTATTAAGATAATTACTAATTTGGTTCTATAAAACTAGAACTATTTTGATTAGAAGAACATTTTTTATTTAATATACAAAATCGATTTACTTAATAAAATTTTAAGAAAATCGAAG